ATAAATGGAACCTTGTTCATATTGTGTACGCCGGTTTCACTTTTCCTGTGTCCGATAACTTAATCAGAAATCCTCTTTAGTTACTTCTACACAGATAGCCTCTATGCATTTGTATAGTTTTCGGCACGCGAGTAGACAATACTCTCACATGTTAGCTCGTGCTCGCTTGCCACATGACCTTTTCAAACCAATGGATGAATGCGTACAAAGCCCGCGAGAGGCCAGACCTCGTCCCTTGATACTTCGAAATCAATAGAACGCAAGAGATTTCCGTGTATAACAGACACAGCACGGGGTGCTATACGGCAAAGACGTATAGTGCATAACACTCTAAATGCAAGCGACTAACACGGCATGTAGCCCGAGTATTATTATATACCGCGCCTTGCTCGAGCGTGGGCACCTATATATCTCGTACGTGCGGTCCCACTAACGCATGGTTAATTAGGCAATTAGTTTCGCAGAAATAGTTCCACAAAAGACAAATAACCGATTGCACAGAGATTTCCCTGTGGCTTCAAAACCGCAAAGACACCAATCATCTATCTAAACATAAGATGAAAAGCATAGAACGCGAATTTTTGTGTGAAAGGTGTACTTCAGTCATGAATAGAAGGCAGTAGATTTCAGCGTTTCCTCATCGGATTCGTAACATGCGTCGGGTGATTAGTTTCATTATCTCTTCTCTATTTTTCATCTATCGGAGGTTCATTATCTTACTAATATTAGAATCAACTAACTAATCATAGAATTCGAGTCAAATAATTTGCAATCACTTAGAATCAAGAACCATTTTAGAATAGCTTTCATATTCGCACAAGTATGTAAATATTTTAAAGGAATCACAAGATATATATATATACTCTGATTGTCTAGAATAGCCTAAAGGCGAATGCGCGAAAGGAGAGCTTTATACATTCTTAGGATTTTGGCCTCTCAATAGGTCAAGAACGATAAACATGCGTTCTAAATCAGACTTCATTGCGAGAAAATAATAGCAGCGAGTTCCGTGCAGAGTGTTTTCAGGGGAGATTAGTCCTGAGCTCAACGATTAGCGTACCAGGGTGTA